TTTAACCCTCTGGTGTGTAAGGTTACACGCATTTATAAATTGTGAAAGCACGCGCGTGCGCACACACCGACACACGCTTGTTCACAAATGGAAACAATGCTATGACAACTATTTTAATATTTTAGATTTCATAACCTTTCTGGCCTCTGGTCCTTTGAGCAGGACACCTGAGATTTGAAGAGGGAAGCAATGCTCTAAAAAAATAAAACGTAGCTGGGCACAGTGGCTCACGCCTGTAATCCCAGCACTTTGGGAGGCCAAGGCGGGTGGATCACGAGGTCAGGAGTTAAAGACCAGCCTGTCCAACATGGTAAAACCCCGTCTCTACTAAAAATACCAAAAAAAAAAAAAAAAAAATTAGCTTGGCAAGGTGGCACTCACCTGTAGTTCCAGCTACTCAGGAGACTGAGGCAGGGGAATCGCTTGAACCTGGGAGGTGGAGGTTGCAGTTAGCAGAGATCGCGCCACTGCACTCTAGCCTGGCAACAGTGAGACTCCCTCTCAAAAAAAAAAAGTTAGCTATTTGTGAATTTTCACTTTTGTATTAGCCCCATCAAAACTAATAAAAATAAACAAGTGAAATTATAATTTTAACCTATTTTATCCAAAATACTATTGTTTTAATGTGATCAATATTTAATTAGAAATAAAGCATATTTCTGATTTAATTCTTCTAATCTCACTGTATAACTTACTTTTGTAACACATTTTACTTCAACACAACCATATTCTAGGTACCCAGTAGCTGCATATGGCAGGTGGCTGCCACATTGAGTGCAGCCTCGAGAGCTCCGACCTCAGGGAAGTGAGAGCCTGAACACCTTATTTCTGCTGGAATAGAGGAAACAGCCTGTGTACCAACTTTTCTCCTCAGGCTTTTGGGTGGTTGGGACAGTGGAGAGATCAGGGGCTGCAAGCTGAGTGTCCACGTGAAGACCACGGTCTCCCAGTTGCTGTCTGGTGCTGGTGTGGTGGACTCCTCAGTCAGCCAGGTCGGGGCTCTCATCCCCCGACGAGAAGAATAAGGCACACAGATACCAGAGAGTAAAGCAGAGTAGGATTTATTAAGCAAAAGGAAGGCTCTCAGCAAGATGGGACATGAGAGCAGGTTGCCAGAAATGGAGCTGAGTTCTAGGTCTTTTACGTGGCAAGAACAAGGAAGTCTTCTCTGGGTTCTGCCCAAATGGGAGGGGTAAAGTTCCCCCCAAGGGTGTTGCATCTGAGCATGCCTGGGGTTGACCAGTGTCTCCATCTTGGTTATTACCCATGAGTGCCCAGGGAAAACCCAGGGCAGGTGGAAAGGGTAAAGCTAAAAGCAAAATACTTAAGTCATGTTAGTAACATTGTAAGGAACTTGGTCAAGTTAATGATATTTAGGTTGATTTATTACACCTGGGCCTAAGTTGGGACAGTCCCTTCTGAGCAACATCCTGGCATAAAAGGAAGTTCTCAATCATATTTCTTCCTACTAGCTACATGGGTGATGCAGGTGCAGTCCTGCGTGTGTTTTTCCTCTCCCGAGATCCTCCGTCCCCATCTTCCTAAACTGCCTCTGACTGCCTCCTCTCTCAGGGCTTCCTTTTCCTTTTAAATATCACACAGTAAACAAAGAATGATGGGGCCCCAGGAGGAGAGAGCACCATGTCTTCAGATCTCTTCACAGCCTTGCCCTCCAGAGTTTAGATGTAGAGGGAATAGATTAAAGGCAAACTTCTTGTTTTGCTCTTTGCCTTTGGACCTAATTGTCAGGCTGTAACTGTGTGTTTTTCTCCGGTGGTGTGGGCACTGTGTGAGTTTTAGCACCAATCACCTGCATCCACATCTACCTGCACTTCTGTTCCCAGAAGGAAGGCCGTGAATATGAGTTATCCAGATCCTTGACATTTTGAATAAAGAATCTAACAAAATGCACAAAGGAATGAAACACAGGAAAGCAGCACTCCGCAAGGTGGGTGTGGGCCCCAGCAAGCAGCTTAAGGACCCGGTTACAAAGCTTTCTGGGTTTTAAGTACTTCTTTTGAGATCCCTATCAGCTACCCATTATCTGAATGAAAGATTTGGACTGTGGCTAATTGAAGGCTGAGGTGAATTGGTACCCTATGCAGATGAAGGCATAGCCTGTGCTTGGCCCATGGCCACTCCAAGGCACTCTCCCTTTTTTTTAAAGATGGGGTTTCACCGTGATGGCCAGGCTGGTCTTGAACTCCTGCCCTCAGGTGATCCACCCACCTCGGCCTCTCAAAGTAATAGGATTACAGGCGTGAGCCACCGCGCCCAGCAGCACTCTCCTTTTCTACCGAGAACTGGTGAAAGGGGGAGGGTCTTAGTGACAGTAGCCTTTGACCCGTTGCTACTTGGGTGTAGATGAGGTTTTACCTTTTAGTTTAGATGTGGAAAGTTCATATTAATTGGCCTTAGGTTCCCTGCTCCCAGACCTTGGTGCTTTTTCTCTTAGGAAGTCAGCACAAATTGGCCTTAAGCTCCCTGCCTCCAGACCCTATTCTCCTGCCTCACTTCTGTATAAGTCAATATCATCTTACAACAAATTTAACTTTAAATAAAGGAAAAACAAAATCGATCCTTACAGGGTGCCAAGCATTTTCAGGTTACTTGTAATCAATCTGTCCTGGAATCCTGGAAACCTGTCTTTAATGGGTTTATACATTACTAAGCTACAACCGCCTAACAATCCGAAAACATACTAGTTCAGGATTGAGCTGGTTAGAAATTCAGGCTGGGCTCAGCTGGGTCATTCTTCTGGGTTCAGTTTGGCTCCTTCGGGTGTGAGTGGTCAGCTCCTGGTGAATTAGGTGGCTCTGCTTCTGGGAGTAAGCTGTGTGTAAGCTGGCACACTTTGGCTTTTCTCAGCATGCTATTTTATCCTCCAGAAAGCTGAAATGGGCTTGTTCCCATAGAGATGGAAGAATTCTGAAAAAGATAACAGAAGTATTTAAGACCTTTTGAGTCTGGGCCCCAAACTGGCACACTGTGATATGCACAGCTTTGGCCTGTGCAAATAAGGCAGGAGAGATTCAAGTTTAGGAAACAGAAGCTGTCTCTTGATGGGAACAACTATAAAAGCCATTTCTAGGAACATGAATACAATAAGAAATATTGTTAAATTGCTGTTTTTGCCATCAATTTTACCGTGACTTTTCTTGCAGATGTGGCTTATATAACTACCCCAGAGCTACCAAGCAGCTGGCTTGGACTCAGGAATGATGCTGCCTGACTCTGAAGCCCACGGATCTCCATAGACCACATTACTCAGCCAGGTTTCCTAGTCCTTCAAAGGGGTGAAGACGGACACTTCTGAAATAGAAGCAAGATTTTTTTTTTGAGAATCTCATCCCATCCATGCAGTACTCTTCACCATTGAAAATAATTCACTCCAGGGAATGCTGCTGAAGTCTCTTGGAAAAACTAGGAACAATTTTAGGAAATTGCTGAGCATTGAGTTTAGGAAATTAATGCCCAACATTACATTTTTAATTTCTTATCATAGGAGAAATTTGAAAACACCTATAATGCACTCAATAGATCTGCAAACTCTTTGAAGTTTTCTGTATTTGCAGACTATTTAAATTACTGTTCCTAAAACAAATTTTGCTCTGAAGGCAAGTGACAGCAATAGGGCTGCTGCTATTTAGCAACCAGAAGAGTATGCTCTGAAGGGCAAAGATGTTTTCTAAGACCCCACATTTAGGAGCAGCTATAGGGCAAATCCCCAGAGCACACAGAAATCAAACACAACCAATGTATTTCTCATCCTGAATCAATGCTTCTCACCCTTGCTTGCACGTTAGAATAGCCTGCTGTGCATGTTGGTGGTGGTGGTGGTTGAAGTTCCCAAACCCAAGTTGCAAGAGAATAATTAAGCCAGAATCTTTAGAGACAGACCCAGGCAACAGTGTGATTTAAAGCTCTCCAGATGATTACAATATGCAACCATACTCCCAAATGTCTGTGTAAACCAACATCTTTCAGAGAACCAGCTGAAAATATTTCTCAAATTAATGTAAAATGGGTTTGCTGTTGAGTTGTGGCCTTTCAGTTCTACCTGTATTATCTACATCCTATCCTTTGAAAAACTGACCTCTGCTACTTGTTTTGTTCCTGATTAGAACCAGTTCCACACACAGAGCGCACACTATGTGCAGCCCACCGTGCTAGGTGGCCTGGCTGTGGTGAATGTTATTGTGCAGGAAGGACTTGAGCACGGTGGCTCACGCCTGTAATCCCAGCACTTTGGGAGGCCGAGACGGGTGGATCACGAGGTCAACAGATCGAGACCATCCTGGTCAATATGGTGAAACCCCGTCTCTACAAAAAATTAGCTGGGCATGGTGGCGCGTGCCTGTAATCCCAGCTACTCAGGAGGCTGAGGCAGGACAATTGCCTGAACTCAGGAGGCGGAGGTTGCAGTGGGCCGAGATCGCGCCATTGGGCTCCAGCCTGGGTAACAAGGGCAAAACTCCATATCAAAAAAAAAGAAAGAAACTGCATTCCCCAAAACTAAAACTATGTTACTCACTCAACTAAGGTAAAAAATGAAAGACTAAGGGAGACTCCCAAGGGTCAGGATGTAAATAGATACCTTGGAATATTAATATTCATCTCATGATGCCTGAGTGTGAATGCTCCGCTTTTTTTGGGGTGTGGCGGGGGCAGGGTGCTGTGTTGCCCAGGCTGGAGTGCAGTGGTGCCATCTCGGCTCACCACAATGTCCACCTCCAAGTTCAAGCGATTTTCCTGCCTCAGCCTCCCAAGTAGCTAGGACTACAGGCGTGTGCCACCATGTCTGGCTAATTTTTGTATTTTTAGTAGAGAAGGGGTTTCACTATGTTGGCCAAGCTAGACTCGAACTCCAGACCTTGTGATCCACTCCCAAAAGCATTTACAATCCCAAAAGATTACAGGCGATGCCTGGCCAATCCTCCATTTTCAAATAATACCAAACATTGCATTAAAAAAAAAACAATGCACATTATTCTGAAATATTAAGTTAGGATTAAATATGTCATATTTACATTTTTATTGATGTATAACAATGCATACAGAAATACATCCACAATTAACATAATGCTCGATAAATTATAACAAAGCTAATACATTTGTGTAACTACCCCTGTTTTTCCCCACAAACCACTTCCTCTTTTTCTCCTCCCCAAATGTAACCCCAGTCTTAAGAGCTAATGTTATAGATGGTTTCTCTTTTTATACAAGTGTTTTATTAGGCAATATTTTAAACTTATATATAGTAACCAAAATAGTATAATAGGCTGATGCTCAGCCTCAATATCTGCTAATGATGTCTCATTTCTGTTTAATTTCTACTTCAACTCCTTCCCTATCCCCACTTTATTGTTTTTAGTTATTTTCTGTAAGATAATATATATATGCATTGAAACATACAGTCTTCACTGTACCTTTTGGAGAAATCAGTCCATCCATATAAAGAATAACTGCCACTTAACAATTATTAATGTGCATATGAATCACCTGGAAATATTTGAAATACAGATTCTGATACAGTATATCTGGGTTTTGCCTGAAAATGTGAATTTCTAACAAAGTACAGTTCCATAGAGCACATGATAACTAGGTCTCTTCTGTCTAGTGTATAACACTTGATGAATAAAATTAAGAAAAATTGACCTCAGATAAAGGAACAAATCAAAACGCATGTGCAATATGCTATCTGTAGGAGCATTTTGTCAGCAACCACTCATAGTTATATGTGACCTTTACTGAATCACCCAAAATTCAGTCATTTATATACCAAGTGCACATAAATTTCAGTTTCCTATTAAAATTATATTTAATGCCTTTATAAAATCTGAGTTTTCCTATCAAATTAAGTAACAATATTTTATATGACATTCTAAGTTCCATTTATATTAAACTTAAGCTTACATAATTTTATTAGGCAGCGTCTGTGTGTCTACCACCGAATATCCTTTTGGGTTCCAGCATTTTCACAGGCACCAAAGCTGAGAAGCACAGATTTACCAGACACAGGATGTTCCCTGCATCTTTATCTTTCTAAGTTCATCAGTTAATCAAGTCAGGTGAGAATTGAGGTTATGTATTCGCTAGCATAGAGTCTTGTGTACCCTCTCTTCAGAGGGAAAACAGACTAGAAGAAGATTATTTTAGGGAGCAGTTCCTAGGACATGGGCTAAACTGCCTGAGGGGTGAGAGCTCTGACCAGCAGGTACAGACTTCTCAGAAGAGAAAGACAAAGCAGCCATTCTAAACCTGGAGCTCCATCACCCCTTGTCCCAGCTCATTAAACAATTCTGAGGGATTGTTCTGGAACATGTCTGGACGGTGGAGGTTAAAAGACAATGTGGGCTTCGACGGGATTTGGGTAAGATCTGTCACGGGAAGGCAGGAGGCCAGTGTTCAGCATCTCAGTTTGTGTTCTTGAGGACAATGAGTTGCCATTTTAGAGCCAAGTCCATTTTCACTAAAGAGTAGGCTAGAGTCTGAATGGCTCCCAGATTCCATTTATGATTCTTTCAGGGGGTGAAATCAGGAAAGGTCAGTCTTTGGGAAAATCTGAGAAGTCTGTTTTGGATACCTGGAAAGACCTCTTGCCTTGTGCCTGAATGCTTGATTTGCTGTTCTGGATTTATATATTCTTGGCAGCCAGAGAGCCGGGTTTGCATTTACACCAATACAGCTGTGAGTCAGAGGCTAAGTGGGCAGGACAAGCGTCTTGGTGGCAGGCTAGGGTACATTATGACAGCAAACTTCAATACTGTTTACAGTCAGCTTGGCAGTCAGGGTTGAGTTCTAGCCCAAGTGCTTGGATGCAGCATAGGGCCAATCAATAAATCCACCTCCAATCCTTCGGCTGTCTATGAGGTAAAAAGGAGCCCAGTTCATGTCTTGATGGGAGGCTTTACCAGGGATTTAGATGACACCCTGGATTTCTTGACTTCTGACTTGCCTGTAAGAACAGGTTCAGGACAGATGTATTCTTGGATGTGTGGACAGTCATTACCCTGCTAGAATGATGTGGGAGAGACTCCAGTAAAATAGGTGTTAAGGGCTGGACATGGTGGCTCATGCCTGTAATCCCAGCACTTTGGGAGCCTGAGGCAGGCAGATCACGAGGTCAGGAGCTTGAGACCATCCTGGCTAACACAGTGAAAACCCATCTCTACTAAAAACACAAAAACAAAATCAGCCATGTTTGGTGGCAGGCACCTATAATCCCAGCTACTCAGAAGGCTGAGGTAGGAGAATTGCTTGAACCTGGGAGGCGGAGATTGCAGTGAGCCGAGATTGCACCACTACACTCCAGCCTGGGCAACAGAGTGAGACTCTGTCTCACACACACACACACAAAGGTGTTAGAAACCCCTGACAAGAAAGAAAAAAAATCACAAACTCAATTAAAAAATACATAGAACTTATAAAAAAATTACAAATTAAAAGAAGAACGGCCATTTTCAGAGGTTATCTGACTTCAACGGTGGTTAGGAAAAAAAGCTACAAAATATATGGGTTTTGTCTGATCATCAGTTTGGGAAATTAAATGTTTTCTAATATTGTCCCTTTTTATGAGCAGTAGAAACAAACTGTTCATACTTGCAAAGTGTATACATGTTCAATAACCTTTTTTTTTTTTTTTTTGAGATCCCAGGGTTTTGTTTGTTCACTACAATAATATATCAAAACATCCCCATGACTTACAAAGCTTTCCCAGTACTTACCTGAACAAACTGGCACAATAAACTCATTTGTGTCAGTTATAAAAAGTGAAAGAATAACCACAGAAAACAGCTTATGTAGGGTTCTTCAATTAAAACAAGAAAATGAAATGTTCTAACTAAAATATAACTTAATACACACATTATGAAATTACAGCCAAAAATTATTTTGGGCTCAAAACTGAGTTTTATAAAAATAATTCTTATAATTTCTGACCGGCTCACATAATACTTCATGAAGTGAAAACAAAAACAGAGAAATAAAGAAATTGTAGCTCTAGCATGAGCACCAGACAAATAAAAACAATTTGCATGGGAACATTTTCAACAACAATCCAATAGACTTTACAGTAATTAATTAGATAAAAAATATAGATGTGGTTTAAGAATGTTTTAGGTTTCTAGATTTCTAGTAAATTATCCATGGTATTAATAAAATCTTCTTTGTTCTAATATTGCTATTTTCTTTGGAAGATAGGTACAAACTCACACAAACAGAATTGCTCACTCCATAATTTTCTTAAACCTAATGTTTATCTTCAGAGCAACACATTTATATATTTAACTTCATATAAATGAAACTAAAGTCTGTATGAGTTTGCCGGAAAGATGCCACATGTTCAAAGATAAACATAAAACATTTTTAAAGTACTCATTCGGAGCTCAAAAATTTATGAATTATAATTATACTCTGATAAAATACTACAATCATAATTTTACATTTAAAAATAATTAAAGTGTATAACTGGATTGTGTATAATACAAGAGATAAATGCTTGAGGTGATGAATAACTCATTTACTCTGGTATGATGATTATGTTATATGCCTATATAAGAAAATAACCCATATATACCATAGATAAATACACATACTATGTACCCACAAAAATTTTAAAAAATAACAATAAAATGCAACATATGGAAATGATATTCTCCAATGTATTTGCTATTTAAAGTCACTGAAAAAAGAACACTAAAAATTTCATTCAACTGTGTCACCATTGTTGCCATCTTTTACCCACAACCTTGAGTAAGGAGGGACAGGTTAAAGTTGGTGGCATAATAACACTTCATTCAAGCAACAATTACTTCAACAAATCAACAATTTTGTTTAGTTAAAAAATTATGTTCCAAAATATTAAGACAATTTAAAAATTTACTGCATTTTATTACATAAATGTACAATTGGTAAAACAATTTACTACTACAATGCAGAAGAACACCTACCTCATGCATCACTCAATATTGTCAACTACAAAAATGTCTCTCTGCTTAGATTTTCATTGTGGATCTTTCATTTCTGTCCTCTTTCTTTTAAAGTTCATGAATAGGCCAGGCACAGTGGCTCATGCCGGTAATCCTGACACTTTGGGAGGCCGAGGTGGGTGGATCATGAGGTCAAGAGACAGATCATCCTCATCAACATGGTGAAACACCGTCTCTGCTAAAAATACAAAAATTAGCTGGGCGTGGTAGCATGCACCTGTAGTCCCAGCAACTCAGGAGGCGGAGGCAGGAGAATCATTTGAACCTGGGAGGTGGAGGTTGCAGTGAGACAAGATTGTGCCACTGCACTCCAGCCTGGCGACAGAGTGAGACTTCATCTACAAAAAAAAAGTTCATTAGTAATGCCTACCTAATGAAGAATAATCTCTTATCTCTGATGCAGCAACAATTCATCACATGCTTTCACATAAACAGGAATGTTGAAACAGTATGAAATAAATTGAGTGAAACTATTATATGTTTTTCAAAAAATCTATACTTTTTTCAAGTGAAAAAATATACTTTAAATGTAGTATCTCTTCAAAAATCTTCTTTCAACTTATATACAAAGAAAGTTTCTAACAGGTTCAACTTTGGATTGCTTTTTATACTTAATACTCCAATTTAATGTAGTATCTGGTGTTAGCTCCTTAGTTCTATTGTAAATCCTGATGTTCACAGTCTTAATTTTAGACTAAATATTTCTTTACATTTAATGCATCTACAAAATGTCTTCTCATATAAACTCTCTGGTGCTTTTTAAGCTGCAGTTTTTGAACAAATGTTTTTCCACATCTTATTTCATCTGTAGGATTTCTCTCTAATATAAATTTACTCATGTTGAAGTCTCCTTTAGGGTTTTTCTCTATTGCAAGATGTGCACAATTAAGATCCATGATAGAAATACTGGTACTGCAACCCTCTTTATATTTACATTGTCTTAAGATTTCTCTTTAAAGGCCTATATTTTCTAAAAAGTCTTTCAACATAAATTACATTTATAATGTCTTTACGAAGTCTGAACTTTGTTTAGTTAGTAAAATGTGAGTAGATATGACTTTTCTACAATTTTTCTATTTCTGCAACTTTTCTCAAGTATAAAGGCTATCATGTGCAAAAAGATGAGCATTGGTAAAGAGTTTTGCCACCATTTTTGTATTTCCAGGAGATTTCATCCGTAGGAATTATATACAGTAAGATGTGACAAGCATTTGAAAGCTTTGCCATTGCCACATTTTTCTTCTTATGGCTTTTCACCAATATCATTACTTTTTTTGTTGTAGTTTTTTTGTTTTTCTTTTTTGAGACAGAGTTTCACTCGTTACCCAGGCTGGAGTGTAATGGCACGATCTCGGCTCACCGCAACCTCCGCCTCCTGGGTTCAGGCAATTCTCCTGCCTCAGCCTCCCAAGTAGCTGGGACTACAGGCGCGCCACCATGCCCAGCTATTTTTTTGTATTTTTAGTAGAGATGGGGTTTCACCTTGTTGACCAGGATGGTCTCAATCTCTTGACCTCGTGATCCACCCACCTCGGCCTCCCAAAGTGCTGGGATTACAGGTGTGAGCCACCCCGCCTGGCCTCATTACTCTTATATTTAGAACAGACTGAGGTGTGGTTAAAAGCTTTTTCACATTTTTTCTCTCCAGCATGAATTACCTTATGATTTAAAAAGGACTGAGGAAGATTTAAAGACTGCCACATTATTCACATTTGTAAGACTTTCATCCAGTATGAATTCTCTCATGTTTAAGAAGCTTGGGGGTATGGCTTAAAGGCTTTGCCACATCCTTGACATTTCTATGGTTTTATATACAGCATGAATTTTCTTACATTCATTTCACCTATCTTCTCAGTGAAGTTTGTGGAATGAATTCTTCATAAAGGTATGCGAACTGTCTTAAGGCTTTGCCACATTCTTCACATTTGCAGAATTGTTCCCCAGAATGAATTCTCTCGTGTACAATAAGGGTCTCTTGAGAGCCTATTAAAGGCTTTTCTTCATGTGTAGGCTTTCTCTCTGGTATGAATTCTCTTATGTTTAACGTGGGTTTGGGGATGTGGTAAAGACTTTGCAACATTCTTCACATGTGAAGGGTTTTGCTCCAGCATGAATTCTCTTATGTTCATTAAGGGTTGAGGGCCATTTAAAGGCATTGCCACATTGTTCACATGTGAAGTTTTTTTACACCATGAATCCTATTTATTAAGGGTTGACGGCCAATTAAACGCTTTGCCACATGTGTGGCAAAGCCTTCTCTCCAGCACGAATTTTCTTTCTTTCTCTTTCTTTTAGATAGAGTCTCACTCTGTCACCAGGCTGGAGTGCAGTGGTGTGATCTTGACTCACAGCAACCTCCGACTCCCTGGTTCAAGGTATTCTCCTGCCACAGCCTCCTAAGTAGCTGGGATTACAGGTGCCCACCATATCACACCCAGCTAATTTGTGTGTGTGTGTGTGTGTGTATATATATACATATTTTAGTAGAGATGGGGTTTCACCGTGTTGGCCAGGATGGTCTTGATCTACTGACCTGGTGATCTGCCCGCCTTGGCCTCCCAAAGTGCTGGAATTACAGGCGTGAGCCACTGCACCTGGCCTTACAAATTTTCTTATGTTGATTCAGGATTGTGGACCATCCAAAGGCTTTACTACATTCTTCAAATTTGTAGGGGTTCTCTCCAGTATGAATTTTCTTTTATTCATGCGTGAGGACTATTTTAAAGATTTTGTCACATTCTTTACATTTCTAGAATTTATTTCCAGTAAAAATTTTTTTATGTTCATTCAGATTTGTGGACCACCCACAGGCTTTGCCACATTCTTCACATTTGCAATTTCTTTCCAGTATGAACTCTCTTATGTTTAGCAAGGTTTGAGAATGAGGTAAAGAACTTTTTCATACTGTTGCCACTTCCAGGGTTTCTCTCCAGTATAAACTTTCTCATGTTCATTCAGTTTTGTGGACCATCCAAAGGCTTTGCCCACATTCTTTAAATTTATAAGATTTCTCTCAAGTATGAATTTTCTTATGTTTATTCAAGTGTGAGAACCGTTTAAAAGCTTTGTCACACTCTTTACATTTGTAGGGTTTATCTACAGTATGAATTTTCTTATGTTGACTCAGGAGGGAGAACTGTTTAAAGGCTTTGTCACATTCTTTACATTTGTAGGGTTTATCTGCACTATGAATTTTCTTATGTTGACTCCGATCTGTGGACCGTCTAAAGGCTTTGCCACATTCTTCACATTTGTAGGGTTTCTCTCCAGTATGAATTTTCTTATGTTCATTCAGGACTCTGGACCGTCCAAAGGCTTTGCCACATTCATCACATTTGTAGGGCTTCTCTCCAGTATGAACTTTCTTATGTTCATTCAGTTTTGAGGACTGTCTAAATGCTTTGCCACATTCCTCACATGTGTAGGGTTTCTCTCCAGTATGAATTCTCTTATGTTTAGTAAGGGTTGTGGACCTATTAAAGGCTTTGCCACATTCTTCACATTGGTAGGGTTTCTCTCCAGTATGAATTCTCTTATGTTTGGCAAAGTTTGAGGATGAGGTAAAGATTTTGCCACATTCTTCACATGTGATGCACTTCTCTCCAGCATGAATTCTCTTATGTTTAGTAAGGGTTGTAAACCTATTAAAGGCTTTGCCACATTCTTCACATTTGTAGGGTTTCTCTCCAGTATGAATTATCTTATGTTTAGCAAAGTGTGAGGATGTAGTAAAGATGCTGCCACATTCTTCACATGTAAAAGGTTTCTCTCCAGTATGAACTCTCTTATGTTCATTAAATATTAAAGACCATTTAAAGGCTTTGCCACAGTCTTCACATGTGTAGAGTTTCCCTCCAGCATGGATTCCCTTATGTTGAGTTAGCTGCAAGAACTTCTGAAATGATTTGCCACATTCTTTACATTTAAAGGGCTTCTCTCCAGTATGTCTTGTCTTACGTTTGTTTGAATGAGAAAACTTACTAAAAACTTTGACACGTGCTTTACATTGCAATATTTTGCTCGTGGTAGTTGAAAAGCATTCAGTAAGTTCATTATAACCTCCTTTCTGCACCTTACACTCATTCAAACTTTTACAGCCTTTTCTTAATTGTAAATTCTCATGTCCACACTTCTCATATCTTCTCAGTATAAGTTTGTGGAATGAATCTTCTATGCCCTCCACTGGCCAATGGTCTTGGGTAAAAGGAGAACACATAGCTGAAAGAAAAAAATAACAAATTATCCCACTTACTAGATTCATATGAATATACTTTACAAATCTTATATAATTATACAAAGTACATTAGTAAGTTGGCATAACAAAATACCACAGGCCATAATTCTTTTACAGACATATACATGTGGCCGGGTGTGGTGACATACCTGATCCCAGCAATTTGGGATGCCAAGGTGGGCAGATCACAAGGTCAAGAGATCGAGACCATCCTGGCCAACATGGTGAAACCCCGTCTCTACTAAAAACACAAAAATTAGCTGGGTGTGGTGGCACATGCCTGTAATCCCAGCTACTTGGGAGGCTGAGGTGGGAGAAATCACTTAAACCCAGAAGGTGGAAGTTGCAGTAAGCTGAGATCATGCCACTGCACTACAGCCTGGTGACAGAGTAAGACCAGGTCTCCAAAAAAAAATATATATATATATACATGTAACAAACATATACTAAAAAAATTGCCTCTGTTTGAAATCTATAAATGAGTTAATTGTATGCAATGCCCCATGTAAGCACAATGCCAAGAACCATATGGAACAGGAAGGAAAGTTTGTTACATTTACCCATCAACAGCTCTTCCTCCTCCCCAACATAGCATTGTGCCCTTAGGAGTAAACTGTCAACTCCTGGCTTCATCCTTTAAAGAGAAGAAAAATACTGACACACATATCCTTACTTTTGGCTTTTGGGGGTCTTTACAAAAAATGGTTTCTGTCTCCCGTAACAGTTCTGAGAGAAGTGGTGGTATACTTTGTAAATGTTTCAGGAACAGAATGCAGTGCTAAATACTGGAAGCAGGTAGAACAAATAACTAGAGACTGTTAAGAAGAAACATGAAAAGCCCTTTTGCCTGGGCGTGGTGGCTCAAGCCTGTAATCCCAGCACTTTGGGAGACCGAGGCGGGTGGATCACGAGGTCAAGAGATCGAGACCATCCTGGTCAACATGGTGAAACCCCGTCTCTACTAACTATACAAAAAATTAGCTGGGCATGGTGGCGCGTGCCTGTAATCCCAGCTACTCAGGAGGATGAGGCAGGAGAATTGCTTGAACCCAGGAGGCAAAGGTTGCAGTGAGCCGAGATCACGCCATTGCACTCCAGCCTGGGTAACAAGAGTGAAACTCCACCTGAAAAAAAAAAAAAAAAAAGAAAAACCCTTTTAACTGAAAAACAAACACAAAATTTAAGAGAAGACACATCACTAGAACATGAATGAGGTTCCCATACGCTCTATCAAAGACAATTGGTTTTAGACTATGTCAGGAAAAAGCTACATTGTAAAGATTGTGACAAACAACTTTTTGCTAATGTTCAAATAACAAGCAAACATTACAAGGTGAATATGGTCCAACAACTTTAAATTTTTCAGAAAAAAAACGAAGTACAAATTTAAAAAATTTAACGTGAATAAAGCCCAGTGAGCTAAGTGGTAACACAACCAAATATAATTTAAAAAATCAAAATATTAGTGAAAACATGAAAAATATTTTAAAAATCATGGAGGTGAAAGATACAGAAATAATGACTGAGGAATTTTCAAAAGTAAAAAAAGGATGTAAAACATGAAGAAGCTCAACAAACGTCAACTAGGATACGCACAGATTTATAACAAGGCACATATATAAGCAAAGTTTCAAAAGTCAAAGAGAAAAATGGACTCTTAGGAGCAGCAAGGTAAAAGTATTGTGTCATTTATAAGTATGCTCTTGTAAGATAACCAGTGAATCTGTCAAAATCATTTTTCCAGAGAAGAGAAAGTTGTGATATAGTTAATGTGCTGAAGGAAAAATAACTTCTAAATGGGAAGAATAAAACCAGAAAAATTGTGCTGAAAATGAAGAAAAAGTAAAGATAACCAAATGCTGAAAAAGTATATTGGCACACCTGCCTTATAAAAAAAAATGCTGAAGTATCTTCCACTGAAAATAATATGATGTAAGAAAACAAAACATAATCATATGGAAATACGTACCTTTCTGAAAAAGATATGTACATATACAAAGTTCTGTATCATTATCATAATAGTGTAAAAAAACTTTAATTATTCTCTAAAATTTCAAAGACAAAAGCATAAAAATGATTACAAACGGTTCACCATAATCTGGTAATAAAAACAGAACATAAAAAATATGATCAGTGACATCAATAACGACATTTACAGCAAATGCAATAAGGAAAAATTTTCAAATGAAACCAAAGTTACATTTTTACCAGTTTAAAATACATTATTTTGGCCAAGCATAGTGGCTCACACCTGTAATCCAAGCACTTTGGGAGGCTGAGGTGGGTGGATCACAAGGTCAGGAGATCTAGACCATCCTGGCCATAATGGTGAAATCCCATCTCTACTAAAAACACAAAAAGGAGCTGGGCATGGTGGCATGCAACTGTAGTCCCAGCTACACAGAAGGCTGAGGCAGGAAAATCACTTGAACCCAGGAAGCAGAGGTTGCAGTGAGCCGAGATCATACCACTGTACTCCAGCCTGGATGACAGAGTGAGACTACATCTCAAAAAAAAAAAAATTATTTTATCTTTCACAAATTTTACAGAATTCCCAAGATACCACAAATAAAGTATCTGTATAGATATGCAAAAGTATAAGAAGTCCTATGAATACAAAAATCTAAAAGACAAATAGGAAGATAGAAAAAGAAAATAAGAAACAAAGATAAAATAATCCAGTAAAACAATAAATTAAACAAGTAAGCTTTTCTATTTCAGCAAATTATTCAAATATTTATAAAGTAAACTTCCCATTCGAAATACATGCACCAAATAAAGGGATTCCAAAAATTGAAGTACAAAATGCAACTTGTTTTTCTACAAGTCACTTGAGGTCTAATGATTAAAGGAGACTGAAAAAGACAACATAAAAGAAGACATTTCATGGAAACAACCAAATAAGAGGCCCAAGTAATATAACACAAAATACATCTTAAGTCAAAAACTCTATTTCATAAGATATACTTTAACTAAAAGCTCAAAAGGGGCAAAGGAGGACATTAAACGATAATAAAAAGGTTCATTTATTGAGAACCCATGACAAATGTGTGTAGACATATTTTAGTGTGTGTGTGTGTGTGTGTGTGTGTGTAACTTACATTAGGGTTCAAAATATATAAAGCAAATACTGACAGAATTAAAGTAAGATGTTAGGAAGCAATATAATTGTAATAGGATATTCAATGCTTCAATTTCTGCAATGAATAATGAAACAAGAGAGAACATTCATAAGGGAATAGAAGACTTGAAAGCAGTATAAAACAATTATGCCTAACAGAATTGTAGAGCACACTGCTCAACAACAGAATAGCTCACACAATATTCTCCTTGATAGACTACATGTTAGGGCACAAGAAAAGTCAACACATTTTTTTAAACTGAAATTTTACCAATTACTTTTAATGATCAAACTGGAATGAGAGTAGAAAGAAAAGAAAGAAAAAGAATTCACACATGTACAGAAACTATACAACACACTCTTAAGCATGCTTTTGTTCAATGTTTAAAGTAATGAATGCTATGAAGTCTGAACTGCTGAATGTAATGTACAGATTAACGCAATCCCGGTTAAATTTCTAATTAAATTCTTGCAGGAAAAGAAACAGCAACACCAAAATTATATGGAATTTCAAGAAGCAATGAAGCACTCAAAAATCTTCAGAAAGAGATATGATGTCAAAAATACCACCGCTCCTGATATCAAAACACATACAAAGCTAAAGAATTAAAACAATTTGGTAAGTGTGTGAAGGTGAACACCCAAATTGATCAAACCTGGCAAAAATTTAAACTCTCACACATATGGTCACATGAAGAGTAATTTGGACACTCATAACTGGAGCATTGTTACTGAAAGCAAGTAAATGAAAGCAGTGCAAATTTCTCTCACCAAATAAATGGATACATATAATTTGAAATATTGAAATAATGAAATATTACTGTTTGTAAAAAGCAAAAAATATTCTAACATGTATAATAAAGATCAATCTTAATGATACTGTGCAACATGAAATAAGTCAATCACAAAGAGACATACTGTATGAGTCAACTTATATGGGATATCTAAAGCTGTTTCACTCTAAAATAGAAAACAGAATTGTTTCTGTAAAGGGCCAGAAAACAGAAAAAGTAGGTAGTTGTTTAATGTGCGTAGAGTGTTAGCTCTGCAAAATAAATGTATTCCAGAGATGTAGTGCATAAGAATATCAATATAATACAACTAAGATGAATATTTAAAAATATTTAAGATAGTAAAGTTTATGTGTTTTTGATAACAATTAAAATAACATCTAAAATCTGAGATATAGATATATATGACAGTTTTTGAAATTATCTTCAAATCACAAAAGTCTTTCTCCCATACACAGAAATATAGATTTACAAAGAGAGGGTAAAATTAGGAGGACAGCAATGACTACTCAAGACCACCACTGTATACACTCAAGCAGAACAAGCATACAACTCATAAACAATACAAAAACAATATACATACAGAACAAACAGACTCATATTGGAAATAGACATATCACTGATCCATATTTGACTTGTGTTCCAGTCTTACAGTGTACGTAGCTGAATGCTGTCATACATTAAAATATAAAATTAAACATCTTTGTCTTGTTCCAGATCTCAGATAAAGTTTTCTTCCCTCTCCTATCCAGTATACCGGTCATTAATCTGTGATATATGGCCTTTATTATATTGAGGTACAAACCATCTATACCTAATTTGTTGAATTTCTTAAATCACAAAGGCATGTTCAGTTTTACCAAATGTTGCTTCTACATTCACAATAAGAAATAAAGATGTTGGCCAGGCCCAGTGGCTCAAGCCTGTAATCCCAGCACTTTGGGAGGCCGAGGCAGGAGGAACACCTGAGGTCAGGTGTTCAAGAGCAGCCTGGCCAACATGGCAAAACTCTGTCTCTACTAAAAATACAACAATTAGCCAGGTGCAGTGGCACATGCCTGTAATCCCAGCT